CCCCAAAACCCCAAAACCCCAAAACCCCTAAATTCAATAATGAGTATCAATATTTATTCTTTAATATAATTAATCACAAATTATGATAATATAAAAAGGCTTATCAAAAAGATTATTTTCATCTTACAGGCTTGGTATATCTAACGACCTTGTATTATCAGCCTCAATGGGTTGGTCAAGTAAAGAGCCTTAATCACATCTTGAGCACTTTAATACTCTTAAAAGTATTTTCATCTACTGTTATATTTTATTAGGCCTGAATTTGTATTAAGATCATGAAATTATTGACCATCCACTTAAAACATTAGATAAAATGAACTTTTGTATTGCTAAACCAGTGAATAAGACAGAAGATAAGTAGAATAAATTCAATCCATATACTTTGGATCCATAAAATATTGGCTATAGTCAATGTTTAACATCAACAGTTATGGTAATTTTAATGATGCTTAACAGTAATAGCACGCTTTATCTTTATAAATAATGTTAAATGGAATGCAAGAAAAGCTAAAGCTTCAAAGAGTGATTAGGTTTTTAGACTTGGGTTGTGGCTATGGCTATTCCACTTTAGCTTTTGCTCTAATGGTAATATCATAATAGATATCAGTTTATAATGTCAAATTTAGGTTGATAAAGTCATCAAAGCTGATTAATAAATGAGTTTTCTTGGTATCGATTTGCATCATGACTTTATTGAAAAATGCACTGTAAACCACTAGTTATATTCAAGCTAATTTTCAAACAAAAAATAAATAAATCTCAACTTTAAAAGTCAGCATACATATAAGATTAAATTTTTCTAGACTTTGACTATCTTGGAGAAAATCATAAAGAATTAGGCTAGTTTGATTTAATAAACTTTGGATTTGAGACATCGATAGAGACTCTTCAGAATAAAAGGTAATTTATTAAATAGCTTTAATTTCAAACAGAGATTTATTTTAAAACGAGGCATTAATTTTGGCACCTATTTCTAAGGATGAAAATGGCTCACTGGAGTAAACATATTCACTTTTATAACTGCAAGATAACAAGTTCAAAGTAAATATATTTGTCTAAATTAAAAATTTAGGTACTAAGTGAAATAATGAAAACAAGTTTTTCTTTAAGAGTAGATAAGAAAAATGATTTGGACAAAAGTTTAGATTAAGACTATTTCAATACTTATATGAGACAACAGAAAATTGAATTATTTATTGAACAGCTTCAACATCTTGAGTAGTAATTCAAGGATTTGAAGTAGAAAAATTTTGGCAGTAGTGAAATAAAGCTTACTGAAGTTTTGAAAGTACCTGAAATAGCTTAAGTATTAGTTTAAATTAGAGATAGAAAGACTAAAGTCTAGAAGTTGGAATTAGCAATGAAGGACTCCCTTGAAGGAATGAACAAAGAAAATAAGGAAGACTGAGCAGAATCATATTGTTTTGAAATCATAGATGAGTAAATCACAAACATTTGATTGTTTTTTAATTAATTAATCCACAAATAAAGTAAATTATTTATTTAAGCAATCTGCAAACAAGGATAGGAGTAATTATATATCATCAGTTAGTTATTCTTGACAATTATTCATAATTGAGGGAAATATTATCAAAAGGAATCGTTCATTGAGTCATCGTTAATTCCACTGCCACCAATGCCGCTTGCTCCTCCACCAATACTATTAAATCCTTACAGCATGTTTGGAGGTCCTTGATTATTATTATTTTTCTTCTTTCTTTATCCTGCGCCTATACATTTCATAAATTACTACTCTTATTTCATTACCCTAATTCTTATCCTTATAGTAGCTGGCATAGCTGGCGATTTAATCATAACCAAGTCCATCAACTCCCCCAGTGAATCCTAGAATGTTCGGAGATCCATGCATTCCAAAGGCAGACCCCATATTTTGAAGTCTTTGTTTTTCTCTTTGCTTTTGAAGCATTGATTTGAATTCATCATACTCTTGTAGATCTTCTTCAATTTTCAGTTCGATTCTGGTAGCAGGTCTTCCTAACATTTTGAAATTTAATTTAAATTTAAATAATTATTAATTTTCAAACAATAATATGTCTTTGTTACAGCTGCTCTAATGATAAATTCTCACTAGGATCAAACATTGCTTCAAGTATCACTACAGCTGTAGCATAATTATCTTCATGTGAAATACTAGAGTGTATACTCGAGATCTTCAAGTCATCAAACAAAATCTTCTTGTTCTAATCCCCTTCAATAACTATGATGGGTTTTGAATTTTCCAATTTTTATAGATATATTCCAGGATAAAATAAAGAAGTATTGCCAGATGCTTTTACTAAGGCTTCTTTTAAAGCCCATCTTGAAGCTAAAAATTATGACTAGGATTATTAATCTTCTCTGCCCTTAAACTCATCAATCTCTCTTATATTTAACACTCTTTTTAAAAATCTCTCTGAGCTTGGTCTTTGAATGATCTAAGTTATTCTAGAGATCTCAACAATATCTGTACCAATGCCTAAAATTCGAAATGATTTCATTAAATTAATAAAGTTAAATATGTGATGGATTGTATATGAGGAATATTCCAGATATTCTAGATTATACTCTGAAAAAATCATTAAATTAAGTTAACTATCTAATCATCTACTTATGAGTCAAAACTTAGATTTATTAAGTTCATAGATCAGTCTTTTGAACTTCCTCTGCCTTCTGTTCAGGAACTACATTCTCAGATTGTTGCTATTACTTTTGCTCGCTATCCTTCTTTTCCTCTTCTTTCTTCTCCTCTTCTTTTTTCTTTGGTTCCTCTTTTCTAATCTTAGATTTGAATTTAGCCATCTCGTCAAGATCTGCATGTCTACCAAACAATTTCTTTTTCTGAAGATATTCACTTGCTAATATTTCTTATCTATACGATAGTAACTCAGCTGCTACCTTAAGCTCTTTAAGATCTCCAAGCTCAAAGATTCCATAAGTTTGATATAGTTTCTTGATCTTGACACTACTAATTTTATCTGGGTGTTTTCCAAGCTCATCTTTAACAACACTATTAGCTAACTACTTAGTTGTCACACCTTCCTTCAGGTATTTTTGTCTGAATGTCACAAAGAAGTTTGTGTTGTTATAATAGTGGTAGCTTTGTTGAAGTTTAACTTCCTCAGACACGTAGCCAGACATAGAGACATTAGCTTCTTACATTGTCAAGTTCATTTCATCCCCTTTGACTGTTTAGAACATCTGCTCAGTTTCATTACCAGAGAAAGACTTAAACTCCATCTTATCATTAGCCTCTTTCTTTACGTGAATTCTTTCACTCCCATGCTTCGGTGCAGCATTAGTAGTCAAAGCTAAGAAACTCAGTATCACTATCGATAAAATTAAACTGTATTTTTTCATTTTTTAACTAAGAATTATTAAATTAACTTGATGTGTTTAATTAAATTAAGAGTAAAATTTGTAAAAACCCATTAAAAAATAACTATTATTCTTAGACTATATTTCACAGTCAGCTATTGAAAATCCTTTGAATAGCTTGATCAAATAAATCGCTTCTAATAGGCATATCACTTTCTTAAAACGGATTCTTCGAAACAAAATCAGCATATGCATCATAAATAAACTTCAAACACTAATCTTGATCTTTCCTATGAGGTTCTGAAACCAATATGAATTTGATTCCTGTGAAACTTTGAAAGCACAATAATCTGAAATTATCTGTAACCACCTCATTAATTCCATCTAGTAAAGAATTGCTCAAAAATCCTGTACCTTTTGTCTCATTGCAATTCTAATTGAATATTAAATCGATAAACTAAGTTACAGGAGTGATCTGAGAAGAGATTGCATGCATTGAGTGAAAAGTTGAGGCAAGTCTGATTGTATCATTATTCGAAAATTTCATACCTGGCCCTAACACCTATAATATTTAATACCAAGAAGCATTACTTTATCATAGACGAGTGAACCATTTTAGTTAACAATGAATAATGCTAAATGCATTTTTATATTGGAATATTTAAGTTAATAATTATTAGATTTATGACAAATTCTAATCACAAGGGGTTTTGGGGTTTTGGGGTTTTGGGGTTTTGGGG